GTTAATGTCGTTGTTCATGCAAACTCCATCATCATCATGGATCCAAAAGCGAGTTATTACCTCGCTGAAAATGGAGATAAGATGCCTGAAAGTGAGAAATTACCTTATTAATTTATTATACTATCTTGAACACAAGCGAACACTTACTGTTACTTGGTTAATAAATCTTCTGGTGACAGTCTCTGGTGTACTATGTAGCTTGTCCCACTAAGTTACAACGTCTAGCTCAGGATGTTAGATGCTTTCTTTCTTGTTTTGTTGGTTTTAGGTTCTTCCCCTGCATGGACCCCACCAACACGTTTCATAAATATATACATCAAAATATCAATAATAAATAAGAAATCATTCATCAACACACACATTGTTAAATGGTTAAATCAGACAAGCTTCGTCGTGCCAAAACTTGAACATTTCTCTATAAACCACTGAAAACTTGACTAAAAATATCGTTATTTGTTTTCGACTTTTGGTTAAAATGGGATACACTGACAAAAAGTATGGGGCAATTATTATGAGAAACTATTAAAAAAATAGAGATTTTATTGTAAAAAACTGGATAATCATTTTCAAAGAAACTAAAAGATGTAATAAAATGTTTACACACTAAACATTTTAAGACAATTTAATTTTTTCATAATCTTTTTAAAATTTGATATGGCTTTATTTTTATACATTTTTTGTATGGTTTCTTTTCAGTGAGCTTATGTTAAAAAAAGGCAATTTGTAACTAATCATGACAAGTGGAGGGAGCAATAATAATTAATAATTGGAGGGAATATTTGGTCAAGCACCTTCTTTTACCTGGTAAATAAACAACTCTAGTCAAAGCTGTTATTATCAAACACACTTTCACACAGTATACAGGGTCCGCTTCCACAAATCGCCCGTTGGCCTAAAATCCTCCCCTCCCAAGCACACCCAAAAAGCCCATGCTCTCTCAGTCATTTTAGTGCATCTTCCGCGGCTCAAACCAAAGCTTTTATAGGCAGATTATGGCAAGATCTTCGCTGGATCCCCGGAATTGTTTGCTGTTACTGCTCTATAGCTTGGCGGGTTTTTGGCCTTTTGCTACCTCGCAGGCTGAAAATGACGTCCAATGCCTTAAAGGCATCAAAAGTTCTTTCAGTGATCCCCAGGGGAAGCTCGCTTCTTGGCGTTTCGATAACAACACCGCCGGTTTCATATGCACGTTCGTCGGCGTTACGTGCTGGAACCCCCAGGAGAATCGGGTCCTCAATCTGGAGCTCCGGGATATGAAGCTCTCGGGCCAGGTGCCGGAATCGTTGAAGTATTGCGGTAGGAGTATGCAGAAACTGGATCTTGGGTCCAACGACGTTTCCGGTACGATCCCTTCTCGGATATGCGATTGGTTGCCATTTTTAGTAACACTGGACTTGTCCGGTAATCGTCTCTCTGGTCATATCCCTCCTACTCTTGTGAATTGCACTTACTTGAATACCTTGATTCTTTCCAATAATCAGCTTTCTGGTTCTGTTCCTTCCGAATTTGGGAGTCTGACTAGGCTTAGGACATTTTCTGTTGCCAATAATCATCTTACTGGTACGATTCCTTCGTATTTAAGTGGTTATGACAAGGAAGATTTTGCTGGGAATAGTGGGCTTTGTGGGGGTCCCCTTGGATCCAAGTGTGGTGGGTTGAGTAGGAAGAATCTTGCTATTATCATCGCTGCTGGAGTATTTAGCGCTGCTGCTTCTTTGTTATTGGCTTTTGGATTGTGGTGGTGGTATCATTTGCGGTTGGCTAGGAATAAGAATGGGCTTGGGGTTGGAATCAGCGATGATTGGGCTGCGAAGTTGAGGGGTCACAAACTTGTTCAAGTTACACTGTTTCAGAAACCCCTTGTGAAGGTTAAACTAGGAGATTTGATGGCGGCTACGAATAATTTCAATTCTAAAAATATCATCATGTCTTCAAGAACTGGGACTACTTATAAAGCAGACCTTCCTGATGGTTCAACACTTGCGGTCAAGCGGCTTAACACCTGTAAGATTGGAGAAAGACAGTTTCGCATGGAGATGAGTAGGCTAGGACAAGTCAGGCATCCGAACTTGGCACCCCTTTTAGGTTTCTGTGTGGTTGAGGAGGAAAAACTTTTGGTTTATAAGCACATGTCTAATGGAACTTTGTCTTCTTCGTTGCATAAAGATGGTACTGGATCGGAACTGGATTGGCCAATGAGATTCAGGATAGGATTTGGTGCCGCCAGGGGTCTTGCATATCTGCATCATGGGTGTCATCCTCCAATAAGACACCGAAACATCTCTTCCAATGTGATAGTTATTGATGAAGATTTTGATGCTCGATTAATGGACTTTGGCCTTGCTAGGCTAATGACATCTGATTCCAACGATGGTAACTTCGTGAGTGGGGACTTGGGGGAACTTGGCTATGTAGCTCCAGAATATCCGAGCACCCTTGTTGCTTCTCTAAAAGGGGATGTTTATGGATTTGGGATTGTTCTTTTGGAGTTAATTACCGGTCGCAAACCTCTTGAAGTTGGCAATGGAGAGGAAGAGTTTAAGGGCAACTTAGTGGATTGGGTGAATATGTTTTCTAGTTCTGGTCGAATTAAGGATTGCATTGATAAGGCCGTATGTGGAAGAGGGCATGATGAGGAGATTTTGCAGCTTCTGAAAATTGCTTGTAATTGTGTGGTTTCTCGCCCCAAGGACAGGTGGTCCATGTACCAGGTTTATCATTCCTTGAAGAGTTTGTCCAAAGACTACAATTTCTCTGAACATGATGATGAGTTTCCGTTGATTTTTAACAAGCCAGAGTCGGCATAAGTCTGCTGTAAATTTCCACCATGAATTTCCATTTATGTGGAGAGTTCTCAGTATTTTCTCATTGTACATGATCTAATCATTTGTCTGAGCAGTTCCAATCAAGTATAGTTGTGTGATACCAATGAAATCCCTCATGATAGCTTGAGTTCCCCGTCTTCCATGAAATTGTTTGTTTCACTTTTTTGGTTTGAAAGTGCAATCTCAAATGTATGTCCATGATATTTGGTAACAAGCTTAATATCTGTACTCCATATACGTGGCCTAAAAATATGAAACTATGGAGCTTTACTTTATGCTTTGTGTTCTTATCCCATTCAGATAATTTATTGATATATTTCCATTCCTTTATATTTTCTGTCCGAATCAAATTCATTACAATGCCATCACTTTGACAATATTGTGAAGAATGTCTACTTTATTATGAGAAAATCAACTGAGTATGCAGAGAAACATTTCTCGGAAGTTAAATAACCCCGTTGTTAAATCTAGCAATTAGTGTTCCAAATAAATGACAAATCATTGGTTAACTAGCGTCATTCAAAAGCGTTGCAAAGTTGAGGTATCCCTAGAAGAAAAAGGAGGAAGATTAGAAGGTAAACTTGGTGCAGTTTCTGAAATTGCTTGAATAATTGAACCTCGATCCTTAGGGCATGAAAACATGGTCCCAACACAACACTGTTCTGCATAAATTCAGAAAAGAGACAGGTGGCGTTGTAGACGCAACTTAAAATCCAATCACACTGATAATCTCATGGTCCCTTGATGAAACTTGTAGGTACCCTATGGAAATGAAGCTGTCAATAAACACAAGAATTAGCCAAGAAAACTATACGTTAGCAACCTCCATGTACCTTTCATGTCAGGTTGAACAAGGACTAAAGTATAAGTTAAATTCAAGACTTTGACCGTCTAGGTGCGTGTGATGAATAAATAGAAATTCATTTTATTTTATATAAACCAAAGAAAGGTCCTCCATTCCAGCACTGTGAGATTATTGTTTCAGTGCTCTCTGCCGTATGGAAAACTAAGCACAAGCTGCGATGTGGGACCTCCAGGGTGATCCTCCTACTTTTGATAATTGTAGAAACAGAGACATGTAGGACAATTATGAACTAAGGATGGGCAACTTTGAGCAGAGCCATCTGGTTTTGCATCTTTCAATATATTCAAAAAAGAGAAACAGAAACTGCACGGGGTGAGAATCTGTCTCCCATGCAACCAAAGTTTAAAGTTTCATAAATTTGAATCTCACTCACTTTGGACAGAGTCACCTCATTCTCGAATCCATGGAAAATCATCCAATCAGACCAGAAAGAAAAAGCAAAGAGAAAGATAAAGAAAAAGCATCAGGCAGAGATTGCTCCTCTGCTAGTTTTGCTTTAGTGGGATACTTAAAAATGCAACCTTTCCTTAAGTTACCTTTCATTTATTTCTCAAGAATTTAAGAAAGATATGGCTAACAGAAGCTGATTAAGACAGAAGAAGAATCTAATGCAGCTTTAGGTCCCCCAACAGAAAAAAATAATAATAATAATGAAGCAAGAAATTAGTCATGAAGGCGATTTTGACAAGTAAAGCAAAAACCTTTGATGTTTTTGAGGCTATTCACAGTGATTATTGAAATTTAAGTACAAGAATTGGGCAAGTCGTTATGCAGAATTTTTCTCTGCTAATTTAGTGGTTAGGTCCACATCCGACATCAAAGACAACGCAAGTTATTAATGCATCGATCAAATCATGGGGAAAAACCAAGAAGAAAATGATAACAAAATTGTTCAACTGGTTCCCTTTAGATTAAGGAAATTGCTTTGGTTGAACACGAGGCTCTTGTTGGTCAAAAAAAAAAAAAAAACACGAGGCTCTTAAAATGGGTGCCACCAAAGTGATCAATTAAGCCTAATTATATGATTCCAGACTTGGCCTTTTCTTGAATGGCGATCCAGTTTGTGACTGATTTCTGCGTTATTTTTGGCCCCGCGAGGTAAAATTCTTATCCATAAATCTCTCTCTCGATTGAGTGGGGAAAAAGCATATACTGCATTAGCATTCAAAAGAACAGTCTTTCTCTAGGTCTCGCACGTGTGATTTACAAGATAGTCATAATGATATTTCATTCCTTTAATAAATACCCACCATCCATTTCACAGATTCTTGCAATCCGGCAGCCATAAATTAGGAATTTGAAGACACAGATTACATTCAAAATTTTGATCACTTCATTACCCAAGCTTGCTTTACATCGCGATCATAAAAAGGATAAAAGATAAAAATAAAAGAGCACACTTACAATTTTCAAGCACAAGCATTACTATGGAATAACAACATCTGATAGAAATTCAAGGTAAGTCCTTCCAAATGGGAATAGCAAAAATCTGTAATTTCTCAAGTATCTTCTTCGTTTCCTCGTAATATATGTGGATCTCAGAATCCTCAAGTTCGCGTAGGAGGCTGTCTAGAATTCACTTCTCTCCTGAAGTCATAATTTGCCCAGAGATATATTCAGAATATATCACAATAAAAAAAAAAGAGCATGCAGAACTAAGCACTATGATTAGAAGCGTCAGAAATCTGGAAGGGGCAAGAAGTCAAGAACAAGGTGTACAATGTTGTTCTGTCTTGTGCACTAACATGTGGCAAATCCCACTTAGAACAGAGACGTGTGGTGTGGTGGGTTCCTATTGAATTCAAATGGGGCTAAAAAGGGATTCACGATCCTCCAATAAATTAATCAAGCTTTCCATAGAAAGTAAAAGGAGCCACACATAATGCTCATTCCCTCCCTCCAATAACTAAAGTTACGCAGTTCTTCCCCCAATGTCTTTTTCTGGTTTTTCATGAAAATACGAGAAAGATTGGTAGTTAAAGAAGCTTTTAATAAAGAGTGAAAACTATCACTCTCTTCAGTGTTCCCAGTATTAGTCCCTATCTTCTTCTTCTTTCTTTCCCTATCTTCTTCTTCTTTCTTTTTTCTAGTCCCCTAACATCATAATACACTGCACCAGCCTAGGAGGCACCCTAAAGCTAAAGGATAAGCGTGAAAGTGTTTTAAACTTACAAGATTGTCTATTTTCACTCCCTCCAATTCCATTCTTAACCCTTGACACACTGTCACCGGACTGCTCACGCATCTCTCAACCAAATTGCAAAGGAAACAGAGTAACCTAGCGTCTTGAAGCAACTTTTTGAACTCATCTTTTCTTGAGAAGGACTAGAAAAAAGAAACCAAGCTACGATGACAAAATATGTAGTGTCAAGTGCATGGAGGCAAGTGAAAAACATAACGTGGCTATAATAAATGACTATTTGAGATACAACCGCCCAAGTTAACAATCTTATCTTATATTCCTTCCAGCTCTATTTACAAGACCCTACCGTAAAAATGCCCTGGTCTCTCTTTTTTTTTCCCATTCCCCAAACTCTCTTCCCATGGTATAATTGACATTTAACTACTTCTAACTAATTTTCTTAATCTCATGAAAGTAGCTAATAGGACCTTATAAAAGATACCGGAGGAGTATATAGATAGACAATGGGGATTACATGAACAAATAGAAGGTACGAGTGAAGAATAGAAGAGAAATGAGAAGGTACCTGTTGTGAATGGGATCAGGTCCGTTAGGTACTCGTCTCTTGCTGACGTAAATCAGTCCAGACTTGGGATGAAAGGCGTGCCTGTCCATGTGAACCAGCTTCAAGTGCTTAGAGATTACATTGTATGGAACTAGAACTGCCCTTTTGGTCTGACGGTTGAATGAGATTGCAAGAAACATAAACCAGATGACTCCCACAGAAACCAGAGCTCCAAAAAGAAACCTCCTAGTCCTAACCCCACCAACCCCCATAATATCGTCTTTGGCTCTTTAAGGTTGTCCGCCCTGACAATTGATCAAGACAGAGACTCGGGAGTTTCTCAATGACACCATTCTAGCATTGACCCAGAGGATGAAGAAGAGAGAAGGACAAGTTTTAGTGAACTCGTTATAATAACTTGGCGGGTAAGAAGGGAATAGATCTATTTAGAGGAGAGTGAGATGGATAGAGAGAGAGAGAGAGGAGAGAGAGAAAGGCAGAGAGGGAGGGGTCTAGGATTATGAGAGGCTGAGGAGAGAATAAATAAATGAACATACAAAAGGTAGGGGAATGAGAAAAAGTTAGTTACTAGAGGCACTTTTGGCAATGAGAGTAGGGTCCGCTTGAGGCATATGGCTTTAAGCATTTTCATGCAACGAAGAAAGGGGACCTCACTTTGATCTCCCAAATGCCTCTCTCATATTCTGTTGGGTAAAATATTTGGGCATGTAACTAATGACTAATGTTAATCATGAAAATGTAAAGACACAGTAGAGACACAATTGTTAGGGTAAAATGCCTCCTCCACTTCCACTAGACTGAAGAAAGAAGACAACAGCTCACACGAAACACAACAAAAAACATCCCCTGAATCCGGCTGATGGAAATTCTCATTTAATCATAATCCTATCAGTACACTTACTTTCCAAATTATACTTTACTGAAGCGGTAGCCGTCGTTCTCTGCGATGACAATGTGTGATTTTTTTCAACAATGGCCGCTTCATTATATTTATGTTTTCTTATCACTTTCTGCCTTTACGATCCTTGAGAGCTGCTATAGGAACATCCATTCAGGCATTCACGGAATTTGGTTTTCATGGCTTCTATTTGCCTTTTTATTTTTTGAAGGAATTACGAAGACAAGCCAACAATTTGAGTTACAAGTTAAATCAGATACGCCACCTTCCATTTTTAAGAGAGTTTCCATGCCACAAGAACGTTAGCCATGGGTTCTAACTTTTTTTAATATAGAGGTGAACCTTTTTGGATTAGGAGGTTCACATTTTAATAAGAGATAAAATAACTAGAACAGTTCTCTGTAACGCATAGGATTTATAATTAAACGGTATTCATTAATTTATTTTTTCTATAATATACAATGACTAATTTATTATTAAAGATTTTCAATTTTGCCACTCCTTATTTATATAACTAATAATATTAGACACGAAAAAAAAAACGGAAATTAAATATCATTCCATAAACGACGCCGTAACTAGAACCCTTGCAGTCTTCTGAATGCAAGCAGGAAACTCGTTCGGACTCCCGCGGCGACGGCAAATATCTGAGTCTCTCGGAGTAAAAATTGGTTTTCTTCCCAACTAAACTTTTAGCAAAGTTATGAGCTTTTTGTGTATTTCTCTGCAAGTCAGTTTCTTTTTCTCTTGTTATGTCCATTTAAAAATCAATGGGGTATCTCTGCCCCCTTCATGTGGTTCAGCCTCAGTGGAGTACATCTTCTTCGCCTTCAGGCTTCATCTTCTGCCTCAATAAAGTTCTCTCATTGTAAACTCAAATCTAGGCTTGGCAGTATCACTGGGATTCTATGATGACATTTTTATGCACCTGCACATCACTTGCGAAATCCAGCCATTTAGAGGCTGAATCAAAAAATAGGTGATTCTGCTTAGCTAGTTCTTTGGATGAACTTTTGAGCACGCCACACCGTGTCTCCATGCAGTTTTTTGTTTCATTTCTACCCTTCTGCCTTCCATCTCGGCATTGAACAACTTGCTTAATATGTATGCTGTTACTGTGAAAATCAAACATCTCAAGAAGCCCAATCTCAATGAAATTACTGACCTCATTCACATCCGCGGGAGTTTTAATCTCGACGCAGATAATATGAATCTTAGAAGCCGGCGAAGCGTACAGCCCTGGAAGTTGAAAATATCTTACCAAACATTTTCCGAACTTGATGGGTCCCAGTGAATGTACATTAGGAGACTAAATGTTGGAAATCAGACAAGTTGGAAAATTAGGTGTTATTCGCCACATTGTCTCAAAGTGAAGCAATGAATGTACGAATTTACAGCAAAACTGAGCATAACGCAGAGGTTGTTTCTCGCTTTGTACTTTAGTGTCACCTTTAATGATGCAATGCACGTGTAACAATTGACCAATGCCGGCAGCTCACATGGGAATCACAAATGCTGGCAAACTAATTTTCACAGGAAATGTAAGCAGTCCTTCGTTATAGAGTTGAGTGTTTCCATTCAACAGGTCCTTTAATCCCTTTATAGAATTTACATTATCCTTACCAAGACTGATGTTAGAGATTGGGGCCAATCTTATAATATTTGCTGAGAAGAAACTGTGAAAATGCAAAATTTGTAGAGAACTTGCTCTGCAATTAATCATATTTTCAGCTCATGGGATTCCACATTATATTTATAATCAGCATTACAGAATTGTGTAATATATCAGGATCATCAAGTAAATTTAACGGAAGTAAAGAAAGAGAAAAAGATCAAAACATAGATCTCGCTCAAGTGACACAATAACAGGGATCAATTCTACCGGCGACCGATAATCAGCATGTTGTAGCAGACCATGAACAGAAACATAGAGCTCAATGCCACCTATAATCACGAGAGGGGTAGCTTGGCCTGCTATTCGACTGCCACATCACAAATTCTGTCGAACCACCATGATGAAACAATTTCCTACCAAATCAACAGCGCCTGCCTTGTGTAAATTTCTCATCTCCTCTTTTTTTGGGCCCATGTTGGTCCATAAATTGCCAAGAGAGTCCGCCCGAACTGTCTATCAGTTATCTGAGGTTCCACACACCACTAAACAAACTCAGACTGCGCGTGTAAAGAAGATCCACAGCAGTATAATAGATTATAGAGGCAGTCTTTGATAGAAGCTCAACATCAACAACCAAAAATAAAAGGAACAACTCTATTAAGAGAATATAAAACAAAAATCTCATTCTATATTTCTCTTAATAACTATGCTCAAGAGAATCTCCAAAGGGTTTAAAAAACTATATTATTAATGATATGCTAGCTTCTGAAGTGGTAGACATATTTACAGAGCCAAATACTAGAGAAATCTTGATAGCTAGATAATTAAAACTAAATAAAATCTAAATCTAAAAAAGAAATTTAAATAAAATCTAAATAACTAGATATCTAGATAAATATTTAGATATCTAAATAAAATTAACTAAATAAATAAAGTCTTCTAAATAATATTCAAACTCAAATTAAATAATAACAAAATAATAAAATCAGATTTAATTTATATTCTGTCGTTTTCTTCTTGAATAAGTTTTTAAGGGAATCTTATCGAAAATCTTATCATTACCCCCCTTGAAAACTCAACTTGTCCTCAAGTTGAAAAGAGGCAAACTAAGCATGGAAGAGGTCATACCCAGCAAGACTCTTTCACAGGTTGTCCATGCCATTCCACGAACAGTTCCAGCAAGTTATGGCGAGTCCAGCGATGATCTAAAACTTGGTCAGGCACCACATGCAATTGAAATCAACAAGTAGTGGTAAGGAGGCTGGGATAATGGGCGGATCAACCCCAAGAGTGGGCTGTCAAAGAGACACATGAAAAATGGGGTGAATTCACGCATTTGAAGGGAGGTCTAATTCATAGGCTACCTTCCCAATTTTCCTAAGTATCTTGTAGGGGCCAAAGCTGCGAGGTGACAATTTTTCAAACTTCTACTTGGTAAGTGATTGTTGGCAAAAAAGTTGTACTCGCAACCACACCACATCACCCTCAAGCCTCAGCATACTCACCTTCTCTCCTATGCTTGTTAGCATAAGCCTTTATCCGATCTTGGGCTTTGCGCAAATTATCCTTTAAGAGTTTGAGCATTACATCTCTAGTTTCCAATTGATCTTCTAAGTCTATTATAGGAGTTTTGCATTTCACATAAGGAAGCAAGGGAGGTGGATCTCTACCATACATTAACTTGAATGGAGAGGAGTTTGTTAATGTATGATGACCTGTTATGTACGAATATTCTGCCCAGCAAAGAAACTTGTGCCATAGTCAAGGTTGCTCATGTGCAAAACATCACAAATAGGCTTTGAGGCCCTGATTGATTACCTCTATTTGACCATCCGTTTGAGGATGATAGACAGTACTCATTTAACTTGGTCTGGCTTAGCCGGACTAATTCTTGCTAAAAAGAGCTCATCAAGACAAGGTCACTATCAAATACAATTGAGCGTGGCACCCCATGCAATCGGATCCTCGCAAAAGATTGCTATGAACTTCTTTGCAATGTAAGGATGTACAAGAGCAATGAAGTAGGCATATTCAAATGATCTACTACAGCCAATATAAACTCAAAACCACCCAACTTTGGAAGGCTGGTGATGAAGTCAAGGGAGAGGTCTTCCCAAATCTGTGAGGGTACTGATAAGGGTTGAAAAAGACCTACTGGTGCCAAGGTTTGATACTTATTATGCTGACAAGTGATACAATGTCGCACATATGCCTTCACATCTATTTTAATGGAAGGCCAATAAAAAGTTCTCTATGAGCCGCTTAAATGTTTTAAGAAAACCACCATGCCAACCAACAGCAGATGAGTGAGCTTCTACTAGTAATGTCAGTCTTAATCATGATGTGTAAGGGATGACAACCCGGTTATCATATAAGAGTTTTTGGTCAACCAAGTGGAATCTTGGTCGAGAAGACAGATCCCTTTGCAAATCCAAAGTATCTCATTCGTGAAGGGATCTAGTGCCAGCTCAGACATGAGATCATGCAACTCAAAGGTGAAAGGCACTGCCATTTGGAAAAAAAATCTACATGTTCGGGTTGTTGTGACAAGGCATCTGCCCCCTTATTATCCACACTTGCCTTGTGGATGATAGTAAAATTAAAGGGCAAGAGTTTGATAATCAACTGTTGTTGAGTGTTAGTTGTGATGCATTGTTGTAGAAGATATTGAAGGCTAGCATGATCAGTTCTTACAAAGAAATGCCCCCCAAGGAGGTAATAGCACTATCTTTTAGGAACTAATGCTAAAAGTTCATGATCACAGGCAAACTTGTAGCGATTAGAGACAGAGAACCCTTTACTGAAGTAAGCAATGAGATGATTGTTTTGCATAATGATAGCTCTAATCCCTTTTTTTGGGGCACCACATTCAATTGTAAATTCTTTCTCAAAATTACACAACTGTAAGACAAGTGCCATCATCAATGCAAGCTTAAGGTGATTAAAGGCCTCTTGAGCTTGTTCAAACCATAAGAAGGCATCCTTAGTTAATTAAGTGGGCTGGCAATGATCCCCAAATTCTTCACAAAGTGCAGGTAACACCCAACTAGGCCCACGAAACCACGCAACTCCTTCACATTTGTAGGAATGGGCAATTCTCGCACTACCTCCACCTTTTCAGCCTCAACTTCAACTCCCTAGGCAGAAATTTTGTGCCCTAGAAAGCAAAACCATAGCTTCCCAATAAAGCATTTTTTTTAATTTGACACCACATTTTCCTGCAAGGCTCACAAAACTGTGTTAAATGATCCCGATGCGGTTGAAAAGTGGAATTGTATACCAAAATGTAATAAAAAAAATTGATACAAACTTCCGTAATTAAGGATGAAACAAATCATTCATAGCAGCTTGAAACGTGGTCGAGGCATTAGTTAAACCAAAAGACATAACTGTAAATTCATAGTGTCTGGAATGAGTATGAAAAGCAATTTTGTGAATATCCTCAGGCGTCATACAAATTTGTTAGTATCTCGAATGGAGGTCAAGTTTGGAATAGTAAACTGCTTCGTGTAATTCATCTAATAACTCATCGATGTTAGGAATTGGATACTTATCAAGAATTGTAATGTTATTCAATTTCCAATAATCCACACAAAATCACCACAACCCATCTTTCTTTGTAACCAGTGAGATTGGGCTTGCGAAAGGACTAGACCTAGGTTGGATGAACCCCTTCTTCAGCAATTCTTCGACTTGCTTTTCAGTTTCTTCCTTTTGATAATGTAGGTACTGTACGATCGTAAATTAGGAGGACTAGTCCCTGGAAGTAAGGGAATGGCATGTGAATGGATTCTAAATGGAGGCAAACTAATAAATTTTTCAAAAACAGAGGGAAACTCTTCAAACACTGGTTCTAGGTCGGAACTTGGGAATGAATTAGAGTTAGCGAAAGCTTCGATTTGTTGAATTGAGTTGAACTGAGCATCTCTAGTGTTATTAGGGAGTCCCTGAAGCTTATACCTCTTGCCATTCAACCAAAAAATCATAAAAAGTTAATTCCAATTGGCTTGCACCATGTTTAGGGACGCTAGCTATTTAATACTAAGACCCAGATCAGCCCCTTCCAATGAAAAGGGGAAAAAATCTTCCTTGATTGTCAATCCAATAAGCTGAATTTCCACTTCTCTACAGATGCGGTTGCAACGCCCTATGCAACTATCCCCCTAATCTAGACCCTGAAAGAAGAAATAGACTGGATTGGCAAATGGAGTTCTTGTATTAATGAATCAGATATAAAATTGTGGGTGGACCTAACCTACTATCTACCAACAACAGCACCTCACACTCACCCAACATACCTCCTAGCTTCATAGCAGATCTAAAGTTGCTTCCTAGAATAGCATTTAATGAAATCTCAGCATTTTCAGGTTCAGTTTCGCCATTGTCAGCATCTTCAAGAGGAGACATGACTTCCACACCTTCGGCTGTAATTTCCCATAAAGCAAAGGATCCCTTGCAGCGATGCTCAAGCCTGAAAAAAATCTCCACACTGAAAATAGAGACCCTTGTCTCTTCACCTCTGCTATTCGGCGTCCATGGGAGGAAATTTGGATGCCATCAAACTCATGTTTCTAGTCGTGGAGGCCGACAAAGCAAGAAATCTGGACGAGTTTGAATACATGTTTGACAATGAAGATTTTGTGGTGTGTTTTTGCTCACGTGTGAAGGAGGCTAGAGCATTAGGGGACTGATTTTGGGTTTGCATCAGATTGGGCTTAGGCCCTCATGGTTGCAGCTTGCCTTCAAACTCTAGGGCAAGACTGATTGCTTGATATACTGATTTAGTCTTATGTATTCGCACGTCAGCTCTCAATTCTCCATGCAACCTATTCAGAAATGTTCCAAGCAAATAGTGCTCAGGCCAGTGCTTTACTCGGGCAGATCTCTTAGCGAACTCCAAGCGATACTCTTGTACTGAGCCTTCTTGTTTGATACTATAAAGGTAATCATCAGGATTCACGTATTCTAGGGGCTCGAAATTTTCTTGAAAAACTGTAATGAGTTCATCCCAGGAATGCAATGTTCATTCACGGTTGATCCAAGCGAACAGAGCGAGGGCATCCTTCCAAAGCCATTGACACCACGTCCACCTTCTCTTCTTCAAGTGTATCATAATATTTAAAGCATTTTTCTACTTTTAAAAACCATCCTCGAGGGTCACCTCCATTGAATTTTGTAAATTCAATTTTGGTGCAACGAAATCTGCTGCGTCTGCGTCGTCATGCTCGTCTTCACTTTTTTCTTCTTCATAATAGCATCTATGATAGTCCTCCCTCATCTTCTTGACTTTAGTGAATGCAGAGGCTTCAAGCATCTCTACTTTTTCTTTCAGCCAATCAAGAGTTTCAAGTCTCGAGGCGATAATGGCTAGATAATCTAATTCGCTCAAATTTTGATTTTATGGGGGATTGTTGGATGAGTTGTCAAAGGGGTTGGTTTGTTGACCAATACATGTGGTAACCATGGCTTGGATGCCAATGTGATAGAAGCTCAACATTAACAACTGAAAATAAAAGGAACAACTCTATTAAGAGGATATAAAACAAAAATCTCGTCCTATATTTTTCTCAATAGCCAAGCTCAGAAGAATTTTCAAAGGGTTTAAAAGACTATATTATTAATGATATGCTAGCTTCTGAAGTGCTAGGCATATTTATAGAACCAAATACAAGAGAAATCTAGATAACTAGATAATTAAAAATAAATAAAATCTAAATCTAAAATAGAAATCTAAATAACTAGATATTTAGATAAATATTAGATAACTAAATAAAATCTCCTAAATAATATTCAAACTCAAATTAAATAATAACAAAATAATAAAATCAGATTTAATTTATCTTCTATTGCTTCCTTCTCGAATAAATGTTTAAGGGAATCTTATCAGTCTTATCGCTGCATTTAAGTTAAACTAGATCAAACCTAGCACAGACCTCCACTGCACCTATGAACTAGCTTTCTATTGTAAGCAAAGTCCTAATGGTTAATAATATTTCATTAGCACATATGTGGAGCATCTTGCGTATATTATAAAGAAAATCCCAGCTTCTGTGATGTTGTTATGCATAGACTGCACTACTAGTTACTTCAATTACCTTCACAAGGGATCCACAAGAATCCAGCATGACAGTTCTTGAAGGATACTCAACTACCTGGACAACAACAGTATATAATATAAATTTGGTGAGCAGAAGGCCTTTTTCAACAAGAACAGGCAAGGGAAAAAGCAATTTACAATAAATGTATCCTCTCCAATCAAGAGTGATTCTGAAATTTGCCTCATCAGCACTCCATAATCCACTTGTGTATATGGAGGGGTGACACTAATGTAATCAAAAGGACTGCTGTCACCTGTATCCAACACATGCAAATTTGCAAGAAAAGAAATGATAACTTGGAGAGTCACTAAGATTCACAGGCTAAAGAGAATAGTAAGGAAGCAGACATTAATAATTGAAAGGATGTTCGAAACAAAATTTCCCATTAGATTTCTAAGCATTCTCTTATAGTAGAAGATAAACATGACAATATATATCACCTCCTTTTAATAAAACCATACAGTCGCTGAATATTAATGTGCTGCTTTCAGAACCTGGCTGGTAATTCCTCAGAACTTAGTGATATTTCGTGTCAAACTTTCAATATTTCAAGGCGTCAATTTTTCCATTGGGGGTAGGGTATGAGAGGATCTTATAGTCTGCATCATCTAGCCACTGTGAACAGACTTTCTAGTATATGTTATCAATTTACCTGATAGCTGGTAAGCAAGAGAAGTCACCCCAGAAATTGCTTAATATTTAGGACAACTTTAGACTTATGTCAAGGAAAAATCTACAAAAGTCAGTAAAGCTGTAAAGGGATTAGTTTTTTATGTAGAAATTGACTTAGCAAAGGACTAAGTATTCATTTTTTATTCAAAATATAGAAGTTCCTCTTCTAAAATGTGGAATTGAGGATTCTTAATCAATAATTTGTTGACCGCAAACCCAGCAGCTCAGTACGTCAAAGCTAGTCTACTTTTAGATGATCCGAAACCATATTTTTCCAGCACTTAAATCCTTATCATTCACAGCAGTGGATTCTTAAGATGTTATGTGTCCTGGCATAGACAGATTCAAAGGAAAGGGAGCGCATGCCTACAAATTTCTCCGCACGTTCTAAGAAATTTTCCACACGTACAGTGTGAATGACTGAAGCATCAAGGAACTCAGTCTGCTCTAAATTTGGGCGCAAAACATCTGATACAACCCAAGGATCCATCTCAACAAAATGCACCTGAAATTTTTTTCATCACAAAAACAAGACTTTTCAGGCAAAACATATATATATATATATACACATATAATGATTGCTGCAAAAGATCATATATCAGTAAGTTAGAGTGAAAGAACTGCTGTTTTATGGTACCTCAGAACACCCTCGGCTGAGTGCTTCAATTCCAACAGAACCCGTACCACTGTACAAGTCTAACCAGCGTCCTGGCCTCAAGGATGCAGGACAGCCACCAGCTGCCTTTATATTTATAAGGTATAAATGAGAGAGTTGCAGCAAAATAAATTGAACAGACCAGACAAAAACTACTACAAATAATAATAATTGAACCAGTGTGCATGGGATATAAATATAACATGTAATGAGCACCTGTAATATGTCAAAGGCTGCACCTTTAACCACTTCCATCATGGGCCGTACATCCATGCCCTTTGGTGAGATCAGCTTCTTTCTTCGAGCCTTTCCTCCAAGAACCTGTATTGAAATTGGAAATAAAATCCTAGGATGTTTGCATCAATTTTAGAACCTTGGATTACTATAGAAGAGTAAGAGTTAAGAGTTGATATTTATTTCTTACAAACTAATTTATTTCTTACAAGCTGGAGACTATAGAAGAGTAAGAGTTAAGAGTTGATATTTAAAGATGGTGCCAGCATCAAAGATCCTGAGATCAAACAAGGAATGTTATAGACATAGATTGAAGCCATCCTAAAGTTGCAGGGAGAAGTAGTGATCTCATAATCATAGATAGCTGTAGCAGTACTTGAGTTTGGATTCAAAGAATGCAAACCAGTCTGGAAACTTCAAATGCAATGCCAATGGAAGTGAATTGATAGATTCACACCCTAAAACAATATAAGAACTTATTGCTTATAGTTCTTAGCTACTCTTAGCAATATAGGAACAACTTTTGAGATGAACAAGCAGATATAGCATCACATTTTACAAGCATATCATCGTTTCCCTTGGACAAAAGTGTCCACCAGTATGTTATGGCTACTTGCCTGCAAAAAGAACACAATTTCATGCTTCCAGCATCGGATTTAATTGCTTGATTCTAGTCATTTTCTTAGTTCTAAGTATACAATTACATTTACCCTAAAATGAGCAAGAAATGAGTCTAATTCCGCGTACTCAGAAGATGATTATCAATAGTTTAATACTATATGATTTAATTCATGTAGTCAACTGCTCATAACATTAATTATCAATGGTTTTATACTAAATATGATTTAATTTTTCTACAAGCCATTACTATGCTGAATCTTCGATTACAATGTATAACACAATGGCCAAAGAAAACAAGAGCTTTTCATCAGCGCACAAAGTTCTGAGAGTACCAAGAGTAGAGAAAAGGAGTACCTGAAGCAACTTATGCGTAGTCCGCGCAGGCTTAGGGTCCTCTGGTAAGTCGGACTGCCCTCTTCGCGTTTTTGGCTGTTCCTTTTTCTTCTTGAACTAATTTGCCCCATTTAAAGGAAGTGGGAACCAAAGGAACCCGCACAAAAACGTCAGATTCAAAGAAAAGTGAAAGACGCGAATGTCAAGCTTCTTATTTTTTCACAGAACTCAAGAGAGAGAGAGATGGAACCTTAGGTGAAGCCTGAGATAAGAACTCGTCGGCATCGTAACCATACCGCTCAAGTAAGATTCTCTTCTCTTCACTCGCCAACCCATTTCCCGATTCTACAACCATTGAAGAAATAGAAGAGTCTAATTAAGGTGCAGTAGAAGTTGATAGAAAACCCCAGCCAGGTTTTAAAATGAACGGAAGAATCAAGAAACTAACGAAGTAACAAAAACGAACTTACTGTAACATAAGACGACGAGGGCCGATGATAGCTTATTGGTGGGTCTGGAGCAGATATCCACGAGAGGAATGGATGGAGGAGATAATGAACCAAAATTAGATTTTGTATTTAGAAGTAGTGGTGAGAGTATAGGAGGCGACGAAATCGCCATTTTCAGAGCTCGAATCCAATAGCTCGGAAAATCCGTGTGATTATGCGTCTAAAGTGTTCAGTAAGGCCAAAACACTTGTTTATTAAGGTGTTAGGCCCGCTGTTGGACTTGGGAGCTTCGCTGTGTTGAGGATGAGGCACTATTTCTTTCAGCTGTGGAAGACGTCCCCGCCATTGCACAACCCCACAAACCGTTTGCGGAAACATGATAAATAAAACGACTCGAAACGACAACCATACCATAACCTGATCTTTTCTAGCTAGTTTTCCTGTTTTCCCCCATTCGTCAAAACTTCTTTTAGCAAGTCTGGTGAGTTCGATAAGACCAAATACTAAAACTGATTGATTCTTTTTAATACAACTTAAACTAAATCAAAGGAGAATGACAAAAAAAAAATTTCTTGAAATAAAAATAATAATAATTTAATTATGTAAAATGTGATAGTCATAATAAAATTTTTAGAACTTTTTTTAGATTAAATTTTTGGGTAAAATTACTTCATTACCCCTCTACAATGAATTTTATATGGTTTATAAGTTTGATATAAATATTTGTAAGTTTGATTCCACAAATGATTAAAATAATTTAAAAAATTATAATTTTTTATTAGCAAATTTTTTTTCAATTAGCAAAGTTTAAATAATTTTAAATGGTTCACAAATTTAGTATAAATATTCACAAATTTTATTTTACTAATAACTAAAATGATTTAAAAAATCATAACTTCTTATCAGTAAAATCCAACTAATTTTGTATTATTTACAAGTTTGTAAAAATATTTACAAGTTTGATTTCATTAATACCTAAAATGATTTATAAAATAACATCTTTTTAAATTGTAAGGGATATTAAAGTAATTTTACATAAAAATTTAATTTCAGAAAAAGAATTTTAAAACCTTATTGCTATTGTTGTATTTTAATGGATTAAATTATCATTTTTCTATTACAAAAAAATTTATTTTTCATTCTCCCTAAATCAAACTTAAAAATTAAATAATTGACAAATTATCTCTTAAATAAGACAAACTAAAAAAAATTAAAAAATCTATAATTATATCTTTATATCTTTAAAATTATTAAAAACCTATATAATTTTTTAATTTTATTCTTTTTTACAATTGAAAGAATATTAATTATTCTAATTTTGTCTTCTTTTAACAGAAAAATCTTTTAGAATTTATCTTATATTAATAATCAGAAAGAGTATAATTTGATGATAACTTTTAAAAGTGTAAACAAAAACAATAAATGAAATAATAATTATTAGTTTGTTCAAGGAATACAATACTCCCTCCTATCTTATTTTATAGGGTAAAGAGAAAAGATTTTTTTTTCCTCATTTATAAGTTATATTAATAAATTTTTATTACAAATTTTTCTTTTTATGTTGTTAAAGTATTTCTATCTAATAAAAGTAAAATTAAAAATTTTTAAATTTTTAAATATAAATAATATAATTTAAAGTTTTTCTTAATACAAGTAACATATAAATTTAACTAGAAGAGTGTGATTCAACTCGATGGTTTTGATTCAACTCGATGGTTTTGTTTTTGGTCAATGGTGATGAACTCTGATTTAATTACGTGTTGGCCATCAACGAGACGACAACAAGTAATTAACAAAAACCAAAAGAAAAAGAATATGAAGATAAAAAGAAACAAAAACATGTAAAAGCATAATTGAAATACCGCTTTTAACCACACACACACACAAAAAAAAGAATTACCACCGCCCGCCATGCAACATGCAAGCTGTGGGCAGAAGGAAGGCATTATTATCAAACTTTCCAGTTAATTTTTTAAATCTATTTTTTTATATTTTTAATTTATAAAATTATGTTAATTTGTCCATAAACTTAAATTAAATGAAACTCAATTAAATTCATGAATTAACTCTCCAAATTTATCATTTTTAAGTTTTTAGTTTCACAAAATAGTATCAATTTATTTATAAACTCAGACTAAATACAATTAGTTAAACTTGTTAATTTTTAATTGAGCTGAGTTTAACCGATTGCATAAAATGGTGTCAATTTTAAAAAATGAGCAAATTAGATATGCGCTGTATGGAACTTAAAAATGATAACCGATTGCATAAAATGACTTAACAGTGTATATCTAATTCATAAACTCATTTTTAAGTTACCATACTTTAATTTATCAAGTAGATTTAATTTTAATGATTTATATTTAAAATATATTTAAATTAAATTATAATCATATTTTATATTTAAATTATTTAATCATATACTTTTAATCATTATTTATTAATAAAAGTAAATTCCTTGCCATTCAAATTTAAGTTGCTGTTATAAGTCGTGAGGTTGACAACCTTAGTTAATCTAACGCATTCACTTCGTTCTGTAGAAACTTCACCGGATACAGAGCATCAGTGTTTGGCAACAGCAAGAGGATGAAGAAGAAGAAGACAATGGTGACGTTGAGAGAATGGGAGCTTGTGTGTCCATCCATGAAAGAGCCTCGAATAGGTTTGTCTATGAAGAAACGCAGGCGTAAAAGAATCATCGTCAGAAGATAAGCTTCGTCTCGTAAGATCGACGTCGCTCATTCCCTCTCCCCAAACGAAGCTCTCACTCCTTCTCATGGATTACATTGTTCTAATAGGAATTCAGGTGGTCTTTCTGTGATCTGTGTTATATATATGCGCGATTCCTTCCTCAACTCTTGCTTTATTGTGTTCGGTAATTGCTGTATTAGACAAGCAACAGCAACAGAAATTTTGAGGGTTTTTATTCCAAAAAAATTATCTCTTATGGAAATTGCTATATATGAAAAAAAAGATTCTGCTTTCAAATTAGAAATCCGAAGGACCTGTTTCAGCAGCAGAATTATGTATGTACAAGTAAAGATAGTGATGGATGGTTTGTACGCTGAAAGTCCCTCTCTAAACTCTCCTGTATCTCGCAATTTCTTTACGATTTCCGGTCAATGCGATCAGAGTACAAGTTCAAATGAAGAATAAGAATCACCTTCTCCAGCTTTACATTTTTATCAACTAAATTGTTGAAGAGCGTGTCAATATATAGTAGCTAATTTTAAGTCCATGATATTGATGGTTGCGACCACTATTCTCCGGTCAATTTCTTATGAGAACAAAATGATTTAGGTATGCATTGGAAAATTTAAGGATCAAAACCGTCATGTTGAAAATTCTACATCCTCTCGACCTTCTGTAATTGGTGAAAAAAAGAGTCATTATCTTATTTCATTGAGCAAAATGACTGACAAATTCAAGAAAATTAAAATGAAGTAACTAACATGAAAAATTTAACATAACTTCTAGGCATATCTATCCTTCCATATATATACAATTTGTATAGTTACTGTAATGATTTTACATATTATGTGGTAAAATTATGCAGAGCAATAATATTGAACTCTGACCACAATTCATGAGAAATGACAAAGCCTAGCGAATTTGCCCAAACTTGAAAAAGAAAAAAAAAATATATAAACCAGAAAACTATACAACTCCAGTGAATCTGATGAATTGTACGTCGTATATGCTATATAATATATACACATGAATTGCATATTTAACGCATGCATCGCCCAAAAATGGAAGACAGAATATTTCTGTTTACCTTACCTTCAGATTTAGGCAATGAAGAAGATTTGCTGAGATCAGTTGAGTCGAAAACTTTATCATTCTTCAACTCTTTCGATTGTGCTAGGGTTTTGCTTTGTTCTCTGTATGTATTTATGCGGGAGGTTGCAACGTTATTCCTTGTATTTGATTCGATGGCCTGAGTCGACCATATCCGACCAGAAGAGCCTTGTCGTCGAAATGAAAAAGATGATCTCTGCAACGTAGCCATGCTTCGCTTTTTTTTTTTCCCCCTTTCCTTCTTCAATTCTCTTTGTTTATTTCTCTTATTCCAATTTTTATCTTTTTATTGCCCTCCTTTTTGTGTACTAACCTAACCAATTGTTACGTGAAAACTTACCCAAAAAAAAAAAACATTGTCAACTTAAATTAGTTATTACCATGTTTGATTGGTTCCGATTCATTTATTTTGCGGGATGGTGCGAATATAGTGATTACAATTCACTGTAATTGAGCTTATCCACAGACTTGAGATTGGTTCATAATTAATCAGTTCCGCGGTTAATAATTATGATCATATAAGATGACGCGATACTTTCGGAATATAGTTACGGAAGTTTTTAGTTTATTACACTTTGGGTTTTTTTCCTTTAATTTCTGTTATGATTTTCTTCTTCATTATTTTTTACTTATTTAAGAATACTTTCACTTATATATATATATATAAAGAATACTTTCAAATACTGTGATCACAAACATTTTTGTTTTAAATTTTCTTCTAACCATCCAATTTGGAGTAATTTGACTATATGTTTGACTGCTCTTTTTTAAAATTGAGCACAGGTATAATCCTATTTGAGGCACGATCGCGGAGATTGAATTTGAGTTTAATACCTCTTTTAATAGAGATTTGAACCTTAGTTTACTATGTCGTTAGATTCAACTTTTGTTACTTGTAGATTGCTAGAGTTGGTAATGTGAATTAGATCTACGAGCTCAACCCACCAATCTGCAAAAAAATTGTGGGTTAGGATAAAGAAAGTGGGTTTAATTATATGTGGGATAATTTTGACCTGCCCTGCATAACTTGAACTAGTAGCGGGCTAAGCCACCGGTTAACAAGTTAGCCCACTTATATATTTTAAAAAAAAATAAATAAATAAATTAGATTGATTTTAAAATAAAGCATTCAGAGCAAACATGCAGATAATTGTGATCTAAGTACTTGATGTAACATCTCAATTTTTAATTTATTGATTTACTAAGATTAATAAGGATAATTAAGTAAGTTGATGGTGTGTGGTCAGAGAAAAATAATAAGTGTTTTTAGTTGAATTTTCAAATATAATTTAGGTTCAAAGTGAAATTGGATCACTTGAGGGCCAAAAAATAGAGAAAAATAAGCCAAACAGCCTCTGTACCACATATCGTGATGCACCGTAGTGCACAAGGCCATTAGGCGGGAATTTCTTTCTCTATACCACATGCCGTAGCACGTGGTGCCGCAGCGCACAATGCAAAATCTGCAGAATTAATACGGGAACTGATGCAAAAAACAGAGAGAAAGAAAAGAGAGAACGAAAGAGATGCACTAAACTCTGCTAGGATTTGCTTGTAGACGTCATTGGGAGTATTTTGAAGGTTACAAACACCCAAGGTAAGTATCACACTCATTAATCTCCTCATTTCCTCCATATTTATGAGTTTATAGTCAGGGTTTGATAGTAGAAGTGAATTTTCAGTCCATACGAGTTATGAGTCTGAATTTATTAACTCAAATGAAGTTAATGAAAGTAGATTAAAATATCTAAATCTAGTATAATAAATTTTTGGTGTCTTGGGTTATTGAGCATCATTAGTGTCCGAAAATCTCATTTATTATGGGTGATTGGAAGATTGTAATGCCGTTAATAAGAATTTAATAATTTATTAATGTTATTGGGAACTAAAGGTAATTAATGAACCCAATGGATAGGCTCAAATTATTGTGGAGTGAATGTTGGGCAAATTAGAAGTGAAGATTGAGGGTTTAATGCTTAAGATGGTAATGTTGATGAAGTTTAACTTGGTTGATTGTAGTGTTTGGCTCTTGATCATCTATTGGATTAGAAAATTTAAGCTTAGAAGTTAGTAGATTGAAGGATAAACCTTTGATCTCTCAAAAATTTGAGGTAACCATGGGAACCCTACTTTGGATAGTTATATATTAATTGATTAATAATCGATTGTTAAATGTGAATTGTGAATGTTACATGTATGAGATTGACTTTCAATGTGAAATCATATATTAGTTTCAATGAGTATGTGAAAATTTGAATATGCATAATGCTATTTTTAGCTTAAAAAGAAAAATGTGAAGTTAAGATGATTTTCGAACTATGAACATATTGATGCTTTTTGAAAATGAATGTAATGTTGTGTAGAAGTAATTATGTGTTAATGAGAAGTGAATTTTGAGATAAATGAGAATAATATTAAGAAAATGATGAGAATACATACTTGGGTGGCGCACAATCATGAGCCCAACATGATTATTGTGATAATAAGTAAATAAAAATGAAAATGTGAAAATGAGTGAGTATTAATTATGGTATGACCAGTGGTAGGAGTTTTCCTAAGGGTTGGGAGTAGAGAAAAATTCATATGGTATTTAGGCTGCCCTCCGGTGCACGGGGTATAGCCTTATCCCACAATTTTTGAGAAACTGTCCCATAATTTGTCGAGGGACTAGAATCTAACTATCTCTACCAGTTCAATGAGGAAAATAGTCTAAGGTATAAAACGCCCTAAAGATTTAAGAATGGGAGAAATTGTGGTCCGAGAATGAGTCATGTAAACTTTGGCCGAGTCACACCTCACGATTGGTGAGCTTAGATAGTTCAATCACACAAACGGTGTCCTATTTAATGTTATAGCTCAAGTTTTAATCTGAGAAAATAAGGAGGTTATAAGGCTGGTCAATCATTGCCTATACAAATATATGACGCGTTACACGTGTTAAGTTGTGGTTAGTCATGTGAATAATGGATCAAGGTTACATATCTGAGAATATGGTGACAATGCACCTAGTATATTTGAGATAAAGAAGTTATTAAATGATAAATAATAAGCTATGATATGTGTGAGCATGTTTTACATACTTAGTTTCTTATGCATGTACTTGGTTTATAATTGATATATAACTGCATAGCGTAGGTTTAGCCTTGATTACTGAATGGCTAGACATATCCCTTTCATTTAATACTTTTCAGGCTCTAACTCTGATGCAGAGAGGGAGAAGGCTCAAGAGGCTAGGAATTAGTATATTCTTACTGTATGTCTCTAACTTAAATTTATTTTGTGTAATAGCATATAATTGTTAATTTTAGGATGCATGCTATCACACTTGCATTATTTGTTATTGCAAATGCTAGATTTCTATTTTAGGCCCTGAGTATTTGTGTATGTTGAGATATATATGTTTGTGGGGCCAAAATACTAATGCAAATATAGAAATGATGATTTGAACATGTTTTAATTGATTTGGGCAAAATGTAACAATTTACCTCCTCCTTTGTTTTTAGTAAAAAGGGGTTGATGAGTGAATTTTTGTTATATTGAGATTTTAGTACTTGTGACGTGTTGTACTGATAGTTTTGAGTCCAATGAATATGGTCCAAGTGTTAGGAAAGGCTTCTGGTACATATTAAGGGTTTTGGACACCCATTTTGTGTGAAAGCTGTAAAAAGTGGTCAAAATGCATTTGGATGTCCAATTTTCTAGTATGACTAGTTTTGGAAGTGAAACTCCTACCATTAGCTAGTTTATATAAAGAGTTTTTTATAAACACCTAGATCATGTGATTCAGACGTCGAACGGAGAATCGGGACGCGTCAGAAGTTCTCCAATTCTACTGTTAAATGACAGTAGAATCTACTGAATTTTCATGCAATACACCGCGGCACGTGGCGCAGAGAGCAACATGCTATGGTGCAGTGTGCACAAGCCACAGCATATTACCCTGTATCACAACACATGTTTTATTTTTTAATCGTTTTTTACTTCTTTCACTCCTTTGAGGTATCTCATGCTTTCGAAACTTATTTTACTCTGATATAAATGATTTTGATTGATTTAAATTCATTGTTATTTAGAAAATTTGAGATCTCTTGCTTTTAAATTAAACCTTGGTAATCACTTTTTGGATTAATCTTTTGATTACCACGAGTTTTATTGGTTAATTGTGTTTAGTAGAGTGAGAATATTACACTTAATACTTCTATATTTATTTAATTTAAGTTTAAATTATGGCAAAAAATAATAAAAATACATTGCTCATATTTTTAAGTAGTGATATAATATAATCTAAATGTGATCAAGACAAGACTGAATAAAATATTTTATTATACTCTGTTTCATTCTTATAATATCTTGTTTAAATTATCTTGTTTACAAAATAGTGCTACCCAAGCTAGCAAATAAAAAAGGTTTAGTTTCCCTTTGCATTTAAAAAATTAAACATATTTATAAAGTGCTAATCATATATTATATTATTATCTTAATTTGAATATAAAAGAAAAAATAAATACAGAGATATTAAAATATTTAGGTGGTATGAACTGAATATATTATGAGTAGTAATATAATAGTCAGAGTTTAAATCATTATTATTTTCTTTTTTAAAAAAAGAATTGGTATTTTAAACTGGGGCATCAATTTTGTGGCAAAAATGTCAAAATAGGATGAAGAAAAAAAGGAATAGATAGAGCATTTCTATTAATTCATATATGTATAATATTGATCAATCATATAAAAGATTAGAGAATGAAAAAATTATAAAATTAAATTAGTTTATATTTAAGTAGTGATATAAGCATGTCTTAATTAGAAAGACTTTTATTCTTATTTAGATAATTAATTTTTTAAGGGGAATATGTAATTTTTTTCTCTTGTGAAAAAATAATAAAAAGAGGTAAATTAATAATTTTTAAAATTTTAAAAAAATTATAAAAAATACTTTTTTACTTGCCTCGCCAAACCTGCAACCCGCGCAGAATGCGGGGCATGCCAACCCAACTCGCCCTGCCAAACTAGCAACCCACTGTGAGCCAACCTGTGGGTTGTGAATTAATCCATATTATCAGCTCTAATGATTTCTATTTTTAATGAGGTTTTAATTAAAAAATAATAATCTCAAACAAAAACAAAAAGTACTACTTCCCTAAAAAAAATTGAACAAATGTTTTAAGTACCTAAACGATGCTCCCAACTAGCCATCTGTAGTCCCGAGTACTCCAAAAAAGGAAAATAGCTTTTAAAATAGGAACATAGAAACACGAGAGATAATTACTTTTAGGTTCGATATAACATAATTAAATACTTTAAAATT